AGGACACGGCTAGGGTGAAGGCAGCGTCTAGCTCGGAGGAACGTGTGCCCCCGGGCCGCGGGAGAGAGGACCCCTGGCTGTCCGGGCAAGGGGGTTCCTCGGAGCCGGGGAGCGATAGGTCAAAGAGAAAAAACTCCACCGGGTGGAGACGAAAGTCCGAACGGAGGTGGCCGTTCTCCTCGCCAGAGCCCCGCGCGGCCGTGCTGTGCTGGGGAGGCGGGTGCGTTTCGGAAGGTGGCCCCGCGGCACGGAGCGCACTGGCAAGGCGGCTGCCAGCGGGTCGGGAGGACGGTGGGGAGCAGGAGGGCGAGGGGCCGCCCGGCTCCTCACACATAGTTCCTCTTGTCGTAGCTGGTCACGGCGGAGCGCGGGGCGGAGTAGGCCACCTTGCTGGGCGTGTACCGCTCGTCTTTGGGCGGGCAGGAGCAGCAGAGCAGAGACCCCCCGAACAGCAGCAGCGCGGAGGCTGCCCAGCCCACGTACAGCGAGGAGCCCAGCTCCCGCTTCTGCGCGTCGAGCACCAGTGGGTTGTAGAAATCCCGGATGATGGTGTTGGCCGACCAGGAGACGGGAATGAGGGTCATGATGCCGGAGAGCAGGAAGATGACTCCAGAGACGATGGTGATCTTGGCCTTGGTGGTCTCATCCTCGACGCAGCGGGTGCACTGCGCCCCCACAATGGCCACCATCAGACCCCGTACGGGCAGCACGGGCGCGGGCGGCCTGCAGGTCCTGCGGCAGTGCCAGCATGGAGTCATACACCTTGCACTGCATCTGCCCCGTGCTCTGCACCACGCAGTTCATCCACAGCCCTTCCCAGATGATCTGCGCCGTCACGATGTTGTTGCCGATGAAGGCCGTCACCCGCCACATGGGCAGCGCGCAGCACAGGATGCTGCATAGCCATCCCAGCACGGCCAGGGACAACCCTCCGATCTCCAGGCCCATCGACATGGTGGCCGGTTCTGAGTGCGCTCCGAGGCGGTGGCAGAGAGGAATCCGCTGGCTGAGACGCCCTGGCCCGGGGCTGCTGCTGCTCCGCTGCGCTGCGCGGGGAGATCAGCTCACACCTGCGCGCACCTGCGCCGCTGCCCGCGCTTATAAGCGGCGGCGGTGCCGGGGCTGGGGTGCATTACCTCAGCGCTCGGCGGGG